CGAAGAAATTGCTTAGATTGAGTCACTATAACACTTAGATTGTGAACGTCTTTTCTTGTTTCTAGGTTATTCATAGAGAAACGGCCAAGTGGGTTTTAAGTTTGCTGCACAAAACGCCAATTTTAGAAGTAAATTGTAAATGGTATTTTTCGCAAATCAGCCTAACAATTTTTATAAAATTTGACCTCAATCATATAGCGTACTTTTATAATAATTAAAGTATTTTTGAATAAGATCGTTATGTTTCGTGTAAATGCTCATATATTACAAAATTGTGAATTACATAGGTGCCAATAATAGCATGTATCTGGTTCCATAGTTAATCAACTTGTTCGTTGATTGGATGAGCGTTTGAGCAAAAATCGAGTATCCTCGAGGTCTCCAAAAAATATTTAGTTCTCTATGTAAAATGTTGCCAGTTAACACATAAATATAGTGGCATAGTAGTGCAAATACCATGGCTATTGTTACTATTTACAATCAGCTAACAGCTTTTCCTTCTATTTTATTGTCGTAAGCCTTAAGAATAAAGATTAAAATCAAATATATACAAAAAATTTTATATTATGGACTTCCGGCAAACATAAAGCATAATTATACATCCAACAGTTTTTACGATATTCACTGCACCCTAGTTTAACGAATAAGGATAAGTTTGCGGCTTCTATGTGGGCGTATTTTATTTTGACAGTTACTTTTTTGAGAAAATTAAAGATAGCTTTTCCATGTCTGTATTCGCTAAGAGAGCATACACAAAACGGTATGTGTATATGTAAATTATAAATATTCCCTATATCTTATATATAATACACATATATTGATCATAGAATATGAGAAAACTCGTATATCTTGTACAAGTATATACATACATATATATTTCCCATACAGATTATAAGTCATAAAAAATTTGAGATTTTATGTTTTTAGGGATTATTTTATGAAAGACTGTAAATGTAATGAACGACTCGACTTATCATAAAAAAGTGCAATTTTTTTCTTCGTCATTTCGGACGCTATTTCCACGGTACCTTAAGAAAAAATATTAAAGTTTTGCTGGCTCCTCCTAAAATACCATATACATATACATATAAGCTATTTAAGCATTAAAATAGTAAACCAATTGACATTACTGTGTGACTAATATGTGTTTTTTTTTTGATAATTCTGCAAACTTTAAACAGCCACTGAAAGGTACTAATTGAATTTTAAGTTATTTGAGCTAACATTTAAATCTTGTAATTATAAACGATATGTAATAAATGTGTATCTCCTTTAACAATAATGTTTTAGTTTTGTAGTTTTTTTTTTGCATATTTATTATTTCACACATCATTGAGTATATCTAAATACTTGTATAGCCAACTTTCAATCAAAAACTTGTGACTTCTGGCTATTACACGACTTCATTATAAAACGAGGGAGTCGCCACATAACGGTATCTGATGTGAGATTGAAGAATTGTTTATTTGCTCTCATATTTAATGCACAAGTTTGCAAATAAGATAAATATGTTTATCTGCACTCGCATTATTTGACTAGCGATATTATTCATATAAGTAGTAGGTTAAATGTGCTATACTTGTATATTTCATTATCAAACTGGTTTATAAAAACATATATTCAGTTTTTACCACACAGTATAAATAGAGATAAATGAAAATTTTAAAATTTCGAAATGAAGATCTAATAGTTTTAGTATTCATTTTCTGGATCTGAGTACTCTGAAATTTAAACAATTTATCTGCATCTTCAAACATTCTTGTTCGGCTTAAGCGCCTTTCCAATAGCCATATATGTACATACATAGGTATGTACAATGAACAATGAAAACATGTACAGGGATATGATTTGTCTTCAAAGTAAAAAGTTAATAGTTTAGGAGACCTTTAAAAATTTTGAGTTCAATCCAAAGGTGAGAAAAAGCTATTTGGTTAATGTAATTGAAATTTTTTCTAAATCCAGTTTTCTCCAAAAAAATTTTAAAAAATCCAAAATTACTACATATTTGAAGACAAAAAAAAATAACTGCACAGTTTACATAAATTGACATTTTAACACTCTTTAAGGATAATTAATACTTTGTATGTGCAGCTTTGCCTACTATCCTGGTGTGCAGTATTTTATTCATGGAATACACCATTTTTGTGTAAGTTCAGGAGGCATATTGGTTCATATTTCCGGACAAGCAGTCTTAACCTCATTTTTATACTCTCGCAACATGTTGCTACAGAGTATAACGTTTTGTTCATCTAGCGAGATAGATATAGAGTTATATATATATATATATACAAGATCAGGATGGCGAGAGGAGTTGAAATCCGGTTGACTGTCCATCCGTCTTTCCGTGGGAGCAATAACTTGAAATATCTCAATGAAACAATGGTATACATATTCATTGGCACCCAAGGGAGGTTTGTATTGCAAATTTGCGAAATCGAACCATTTTCACGCCCACAAAAGATAATTAAACTTAAATTAATTAAGATGCATAACTTCAATTTGGTACAGTAGATCGTAATAGGCAGGAAATTTTTAAAAGCTGGAGTGACTCCGTTCCCTTAATGGTTTAATGCACATATCTTCTCAACCGCTTAAGATATATGAACCAAACTTGTTGAGAAGAACTTGTTTTAGCACCTCTTTAAACTCTGTGAAAATGGGTAAAATATAATAATAACCACGCCCACTCCCCATATAATAGTTATGTTGAAAACTACTTAAAGTACGATAACTCACTGAATAAATGAGCCACAAGCATTAAATTTGACAACCAGGATGGTAGAAAAGGGCTTTATAGGATCTGATGTGAAAATTGGATAAGAGATACAAATCAATAATTAAATTTTGACTGGTATATTTCATTGGGTGACTATTGTTGTAGATATGAAATTTAAAACTAAAATCCCAAGCCAAATTGAAAAAAAAACAAAAACGCTCTTCTATAAAATTTGATTTTTGTAACATGCGATAATTGAGCAAAAAGTTGACGACATCTTTGTATAATGCGAGTGGTTATTAAATATAAGATTTTTTTTCAAATACAATTTTTCATACATTTTAAAAATTTAAATATTTCAATACATTAAATGTATAATGGTTGTAGTTATTTAATGTTTAATTTTTTGAGAGTAAATAAAAACTTTTGAAATGACTAACGGCGGTACCGGTATAGTAAGACGTCTGGACATGATCTTAATACGAGTACATTCAATAAGACGGCGCCTTTTTCTTAGCAAAGCAAGAAGCTTTTATGAATAATGCTAAGGCAAATACTTATCATACAAACATCTGAGAATCAAAAAAACAATGATTATAAATAATACAGACTGGCATAAGCCAATAACGATGAAAAAAAAAATATATTAGTAACATGGGAAGAGTACTCCAATCTCTCATACACAACCTTACCTTTGCTTTAAAGATGGTTTTAGTGGATTATACATTAAGGTTTCGTTTAAAACATATTGAGTAAATCTTTTAAAAAGTAGAAAGAGATAATGGTGATATAAAACTATGAGCAATTGCGCGGTAACGGGAAATGGTAAAATCATAAGATTAGGATATTATATAAATGGAATTGAAGTTATATTGTTTAAAATTTTTATTAATAGGCTTAATTTCATAAGCATTAGTATGATGCGTAAGAATTGTTTTTTTAATTTAGACCATTTAATATGCAATTTTACATTAGTTTAGACCACCTTCGACCGTTTAAAGCATATGTAATGTCTTCAAGCGTGTTAACCACCAGTGTAAGTACACATAAATTAATGCCTTTGCTAATCATTTACCGCTGTCACTACACAATGTTGGCAGGAGCGAAGAATAATTACAGAAATATATGTATTACACACATTTGTATGGCAGCATTTTATATATAAGTACAAGCAATTTATACACCGTTTCACTTGGTGCAACTATCAACGCTAGGCATCGCGCATCGTTTGGCTTATAGCAGGCGATGCAATGCTAAATTTATCACGTGACATAATAACTCTTGTGACAATCAGCCAACCAACAGCTAGGATCGCTGTGGGAACAACAACACGGTACGAAAAAAATATTTCAAATATAGTGCTACGTCTAAAAATATACAAATGTACACATACGCGAATAGGCAACGCAATCGCATCACACCGCGATCGATCAACAAACGCATAAACATGCTCGCACACACTTATAATGGGCATAAATGCTTAAAAATAGTTGTGCAATCCGATGACAGCTACATAGCCGGTCCAAGCGTTAAAAAATCGTCCACATTTACTTGCTACAGAGATTCTATTCCTATTTTAATTTTATTGGGTAAATAGTTTTAATGATCACGCAAATATGATAGATAAAAGAGAAAGTGGCAAAATATGTGCCCAACAATTTAGGTGTGGTGTGAATAACCGCAGCATGAGCAGTGAACGCATTATAGGCTAAAAATAGCTGTAGCATAGCATCAAATGTGTATATATTATATTATAGTTGCAGTTGTTATTTATAGACAAGAGTGCGAAAGTGCGAGCATAATTTAGGGATTTTCATATGTCATTGGTATCACATTACCCTTTTTTATGGTAATTCATTCTCCTACTCGACTATATCTATCGTTTTAATTGTCTCGGTTATTTCTATGTAGTCAGTAGGTGTCAATATCTTCACTTTCGTAAAAAGCTAAATTTTTGCCATTTGAAAACTACCCGAAAAAATAATTATATTAGTTATCTCAAATCACTTTTGGTACCACCGTAATCCTAATTTGAAGCGAAATGATATTCACTAAATTCATACTTTCCATGAAATACCGATATTGACAAAGATGTATAGTATCTTTAGAAATATAGTTAACTAGTATATAGAAACATTATACTAATATTGAATAAAATACTTAAAAATAAATTATTTCCAGAACCGTTAACACAAGGAATTCAATTTAACTGCCATGAAATTAAAGCCGAAATAAATGAAAATATTCTGTAATTAAAACGGGAATATAAATATTTTGTGCTTACCGCTTATTTCCACTTCTGTAAACGGTTTCTTTTTCACAGACTGCAAGTAAAAAAATTAACATATTAATTTAATAAATTTAACATAAAAAATATGTAATATTTCCTTTTACATTTATATTCTCATAAAACCATTATAGTCAATAATTATACACTTACTTTTGTGGTACGTTTCCCCAGCAATGCTGTTCCCAGCATCTGGAAGAGAAAAAAGTTATAATTATTAAGAAATAATTACTACACCGCGAATAAAGTTCTCTAACTTATATTATCAACAAAACATCAAAAGCTTTGTCTCAAGAGAATACAGATTTCAACCAAGCTCAATACAAATGCACATAACGGTAAACATAACAGCCTCACCTATGGTAACTCACATTTGGCCAGAGTTCTAGGGGAAAATATATGTGTAAAGTGATTTCTTCCATTTCGAGAATATAGAATATACTCGTATACTGGGTCTATAACTATATTCGTGCGTGTTTTTTCTTTTTAAGTTTAACTTAAATAAATATATTTAAGAGAAACATACTATATTCATACAATAGTGGTATTCACAGTATTGTTTATCTGCAGATACAACATTTTCCCATCTTTCTGGCGATTTCGGCTTTACAGCCTAGAATGTATGAAGCCAATATTTGATTCTCTGCTTTGGTGTGAACCGTGTTACTCGTGTCTATTCGTATTTCCGGGCGTTTTTCGGAAATTGCTCGCTTCAATATGATGAGGTGTAGTCGGTTCCCAGTTTTAAGAGCTCATAATACAGTACGCCTTTCTGATCCCCCCATTATAGATACTCGGATTCAGGTTTGGTATATGATTTTTATACCCTGAACAGGGTATATTAAGTTTGCCACGAAGTTTGTAACACCCGGAAGGAAACGTCGGAGACCCTATAAAATATATACATAAATGATCAGCAAACTAGTCCCTCAGTTTTTATGCTATTGATCTGAAATTTTGCACCTGTCCTTTTCTAACAAAGAAGCTGCTCATTTGTCGGAACGGCCGATATCGGACCACTATAGCATTTAGCTGCCATACAAACTGAACAATCGGAATCAAGTGTTTGTATGGAAAACTCTTTCATTTGACGAGGTATCTTCATGAAATTAGTGTGAGTTATTGCTTAAGGCAACAAATTATTCTCCACAGAAATTGGTCAGATCACTATATCATATAGCTGCCATACAAATTGAACGTTCGGAATCAAGTTCTTGTAAGGGGCCTTTTCTTGTTTTTATTTTAGGTTATCCTAAAGCATCCATTTTTCATCCTCAGTCACAATTGCATGTAAAAACGACTTCTTTTTTTATTTTTTAAGCAGCATTTCTGACAATCAAAATCGTCTTCCAACATTTTTTGGCTTCAGTTCATATCCAATCTCCTTGCTTTTGAGTGTATTCAGTTGCTTTTAAACGTTTTGTAATGGCTGCTTGAGTAACTACTAAAGATTCTCCGAGTTTCGAGCTTCTTTTTGTATTTGGCAAATTAATCTTAATAGTGTAATACTTTCAGTAGCTCATCTTAAAACTTTTTTTCAACCGACATGTGTCTCTCATTTCGACATGTTTCGAGAGTATAAATAATGGATTGTTATAGCGGTTTTTATAGAAAACGATATTTTCTATTTTTATATAAACCATCAAATTACATTTCAAAATATTTATTTAATTAAAATGCAGCCTTATGCACTGGGCTTAACAAACACTGCGAATTTTATACACATTTTATAAACATGTGGATATAGGAAATATGCGCAACATATATAAATATGTAGCATCATTAGTGAGAATATGTGATTGAAATAACTTGTCGTTATTGCAAAATACTTTCGAAATTCTTTTAAAGACTTGTTCTGCAATTTGGGTACAAAATTCTCAAAATTACTTTCAACATTTTTCAAATTCTTAAGTGAGTTATAAATATGAGAATTTTTGGGTAAACAAATTTTTAAGTAGCATCCAAAATTTTTTACATTTGGCAGCCAAAAATGCGAAAAAGTAAATAATATTATTTCGTCATTATTAGCGGTGGAAGTCAAATTTCGATATTTCATTGCCTATGACATGACAAGGCACGCCTTACAAATCATGGGGTTTGAACATAATATATTGTTTTAAATATCTGCATATGCCTTTTTTACTTACATACGAGTACATATATGTATATACAAGAAAATCGTACGAAGTATACTTGGTGATGATACTGGGAAACAACAGTCAGAACTTCAGGTGGATAGCCTTCGAGTACCACCGTCGCCTGATTTGAAAACTACAGTTTCGAAAAAGAAAACTTGCTTAACGATTTTTATCAGATGAGCTGTCCTGCCACAAGTTAATTCATTATACACTTGCGATTGTACATTGGGTATAAAAAAATTAATTTTGTTTAAGCGCAAAATAAGCATTTCATATTCTGCTCGTGCATTTATATTTGGCGAAATTATTTTTACATTTAAGCATTTAAAACACTTTTATTTGATATTTTTCTAGTAAACATGTGAGCTTTTGACTAATTGCGGGTTTAGCATTTTCGTCTCGTCTTTTAATAAATTAATTGGCATAGCCGCCACTGAGGAAAACAATAGAATAATTTATTTTAGTTAAATTACACACATATGTGCATACCTATGAGCTATATTATATATAATTATAATTATATATAATTTAATATATTCTTGAAGACTACCAAGATCAAGTAAATCGAGTTGCTGACAAGCATTTGGATGTTCATAAGTTTATTTCTCACCTTTTCTATCGCTTGTCATGCAATGGTCTATAAAATATTTCTTTTATACTGAGGCGGTTGCTCCAAATATCTAAAACTACTCTGAAGACATAACTAAAACGTTTATTAAATATTAAATCCGTTTTGCCTGCTAACATTACATTGTACAACACACTTTTGGGGAAAAACTCGGCCCAAAATCTGTCAAGGTATTCTTCGTTTTATGAAACAACCGATTATGCACGATTATTAACGCTTTATATCTATTTCGTACTACCCGAGATTAATCTGTGTATATTTGGTATGTATGTACATATAAAATGTTGTTGGCGCTGAAAGAGGAAGACTGTCTGTAGCATTTGTAAACATCGAAAATACGAAAATTTCAATTTCGACTAAAACAGCGATAAAAACAAAACATTAAACTGTACATGCTACAAATGAGCTAATCAAATGTTTTGATATATTAACAAGCGAAGTTAAAAGCTCTTTTGGCACCTTGACATCTACAAGCGACTAGACTGTGTGCTCTTCTCTAACGTTGCAAGCGTCCATATACTCACACTTGAGCGAATAAATTTCAATAAAAATTCAAACAAACGCGCTGAATTTTAATTTTTTTTTGTATTTATTCCACATTAAATCAAGTATATGTACTCAAATAAAGCGTAAATAAATTAATAACTCATAAAAACACTGAAATCACATTTCGAGTCGCGTGTGAAGAAAAGAAAATAACTAAATTTGCTTGCGTTGTGACGCAGTATTTCAAAATTATTAATTCTTTTTGGTAATTTTTTTGCATTTTTGTGTTGATAATTAAGTGAAGTAAAAATAACTAAAACAAAAAATTAAATGAAATAAAATTAAATAAAACAAAAAATTAAAACAGAATTTGGGAACATTGTGTGGAAATGTAAACAAAAATTTATTTTTTAATGTCTATATTTTTTTTTTTGTTAAATGTGTAATTATAAAATTTTCTTTGCGCTTGCTTTTTAGTAAATTAATTAAAGCAAAAATAAAATAACACAATTTTCGCAAAAACTCGAAATGTCTAAAACAAAGAACACTAATTTGTTTACATTAGAAAGATAAACAAATTTCGTCGACAGATTTACAAACGAGCCCAATTCAATGAATTCGTGAAAAAGTATATCTATAATAGAATATAGTGATTGTAAATTTCATACATGAAAAATAATTTCTTTTTAATAATTTTTTTTCTTGAAAAACATATAACTTAAATTTGCTCGTTTAAAACAAAAACAATATTATAAGTTTATTATTTGTATTTTGTAAACTAGTAATTGTAAAAATGTGTTAGTATAGTAAAAAATTAGTTGAAAACGGGTGGCATCACTAATTTATAAGCTTTATGAAATAAATAGCAAATATAACAAGTGAAACTCGGTGCCTATAAAACTGCTGACATTTTTCAAGCTTCAAGCGTACAACAGAGATTGTTTCGGATGCACAACATGATTTTGAATGACCATTAAATACGGTTGGCACTTTAAAGATAGCAACAAAGAGTGTTTGAAATACTCTTCATGAATATTTGGATAGGCGAAAGCCCAGGTGGAAAGTGGGTGCCGTCACAAATCCAGGAGGACAATGCCAAATTCGCATGATCCACCCATTCCATCCACCGTATTCTAAGCATTTTGCTCCAGCTCAGGCATGAAAAGAATCATCGCTGGAAGGAATCGCCGAGACTATTTTAGAGCAAAAGATCTATCGTATTACAAATCTCGTATGGTACCCAAAAAAATAAGAAGATAGTTATAATCGATTTATTTTTTTTAATAGTGATCCTATGTACTTATGTGTAAATAATAAAATAATTTGTTTTAAAAGAAATGAGCTTATTTTAAATTACACGAAATCGACGCTCTTTTATTTCATCTCGCCTAATGTTTAAATACAGAACAATATAGTTGGCTTGTGTAAGACATTAACATGCAATTGTTATATATTTACAGTAACATTTGCATACTCCACACTTACATGCTAATTGAATTCTTATTTATTAACAATAAACAATAATATTGTGTCTTTATCGTGATTTTTAATAAATCGCTTTTAAATTTCCAAATTATATTGCGCTTTCGGATTATTCGATTTAATGCGTTAATATGTTAATTAGATATTTAGATAAGGAGATGTACCAAGCCATTAGTACATATCTAAAAATACATACAAGTATTTATCCACGTTTAACTACTTGTGGTTATTGATGTTTATTTATGCCAATATGCAAAGTAAACAGACATTGTGGCCATGAACGTGTGAAATGAACACGATTGAGTGTGTTTTGAATTTTAATAGCTCTATGATTGTGTCGGCATTGTCTATAAAGCGGTAAGTGTATTTACAAATTGATTTAAATGTCATTCTTTTTTTTAAGTTTCTTCTTGAAATTGTTTTTGTTATCGTTTCACACGATTTTGTGCTTGGATTCTACTTTTCTTAGACAAATCCTCGATTTTTAAACAGTAAAATTTCTTTCCACTCTTCCTGAACATTTTCTCAGTAAGGTCAAGAAGACAGAGAGAGAGGTTTGTAACACCAAATATTATATTTGGTAAGTCGAGCGGTCGAAAAATGAGTAATATTCTTAACAAAAACCTCAGTATCCTCAGAATGTTCTTCTCAATTCCATTTTTAAACAAAGCTATTTGACTGAAGTGAGTAATCTTGATGTTGGTATTTCAATTTTTACAAATACTTGGCATATCTTATGAACTTTTTTTGAAGAGGTCAAATACAACTCTGAGCTGCTTTTATACTTCTAACATACTGAACTTTCGATGCCAAGGCCCTAGATAGAATTTAGATTTAATATCATTCTTATGGTATAAAAATTCTAATTTATATTTGTTTATCCATTAAATATTGTATTAACGGTTTTATATTTGGGTAAGAACTGAAATGTTGAAGGGTTGAAGGTCATAAAGTAATGCCTGAAATGGCACAGTTAGCCGTTTGAAATTTAAGTAAATAGCTAAAAAAACATTTGATTAAACTTTGTATTCGTACTCCCAAAGTTTTCAATTTCGGTGACATATAAAATTTATGTCTGCCTGTACATATGTACAAGTATATGATATATATATATATATATTTTCATACATTAACGTATAGCAGATCAAAGTTTTCTGTATGATGAAAGTAAAAATCGTTCTTTGTACAGATATCATATAAGAAAACAACGGTAATAAATCAATTGATCACATTAATGTGCACGATGTAAGTAATAAACAAACGTCAATCTAAACACTATTTCCGGACTTTGGAAATATATATACATAAAAAGCTAAGTCTTTACAAAAAAGTTCACTATTAAATTGAAGGGAAAACTATTTTAAGTATTATTAGTGTCACACTTTTTAATTTCCTCCATATTATTCTTCGTAATTCGAACTTACATTCAATACTTAGAAAAAGTTTTTATGAGATTCAATTACAGTATGTATAATCTAAGTGCTTAATAAGTTTTTACATCGGAATTTCGCTGAAACTCCGTCTAAGTTCAATTTCTTTTGTTTGACTCGCATCCTGAGAGATTTACGAATTTTAAATCGCCTCTACGGTTATTAGATTTTACGAGAAACTTTTCTGGCCGGAAATACGGTCGGTGATTCTCTATTGTCAACTGATCTCCATCAGAAAAATTTTATAAAACATCAACAAAGAAAGAAATGTATACATGTAGATGGAAATTTGGCGTTTGAATGTTAAGAACTCTGTTTTTCTACCGATATTCTTTAATAGGAAGCCCCAGCACCACGTTTCGTATATATTTATATATTTGTAACTTATTTTAAAATAAAATGTCAATATGAGTTTTAAAGCATAATTAAAAATTTGAGGTGTAATTCATGAACTATTTTAATTTTTCTATAATATATAAGTTCACTAGGATTAGCGTATGTTGTCAAAGGGAAAAAGGTTTGCCTTATAAAGGTATTCAACCAAAAATCAATTTTATGCCGCCAAACAATAATTTTTATATGAAACTCCTCTCATCTTAAAGTATATAAAGTTTTATTTGTTTTCTTATTATTACCATATGCCCTGCCTTACCATTCTTCCGATTGCTTATTATATTTGTTTTATTTATGAGAAGATCGAATTATTATCAAAGATCGTATTTATGCCCGATTTGATTTATATTCGAAACTATGCTTCCAAAAAACATTTCTAGAAGACGACGAAGTAGAATTACCATATTATCGGAAATATAGCAAAACTTTTTATTATCCAAGGTTTTCTTGTAAATTTTCGAATTCAAGAAATCTTTATTTACTATTAATTTTATAAAAACCAAACTTCGTACTATTAAAAATATTTTAAAGCAAAATAACATAATGTAGAAGATATTAATTTGGTTTATACTCATCTAGTTCTCTCAATTCTGATCAATTACGATTCCACATCTACGAGTATAGCATACAACAACCGATTATACCGGAGATGAACTAATAAAGGGGTTTTAATCCCACTTTTAAAATATGATCATTTGAAGTACACTACGTATCATATGAATATTCATGTTAGGTACGGTTTTCCAAATTTTCTGACATAACAAAATAAAATGAGCAATTATTGAAATTTTAAGATAATTTAAGATTTTCTCTTTGAATATTTCCTCTTCAACCCATACACCCACACATACATCTGTTGCATGGAAAAGAGCTGCCAATTGTAAGTAAAATTTAAAAGTGAATAAAAACTTTTGACTTAGCACTCTTCAATTTGATAAGCATGCATACGTGCCACATAGGTATATGAGAGCTTTAGGTCCAAAATCAGTAAAAATAAATCCGTTATTTTCCCAATAGATGACTTTAGTCATTTGTATCTCGCATTTAATAAGTGTGATCGAGTTACGCTATATGGCATTAGAAATATAATATATCGAACTAAAAAATATTCTCAGACTTTTTTATGAATGTGTTGTGACTAAGTATTGGTTGATCGCATGTTGGACCTAGAAAGAGAAAATACGCCATATTTGACAGTTCACGATAATGGCGAAAACACAAGCCATGCGGCTGAAAATGTGCTTATTGTCCTGATACTGTAATTTAGGTTTTGTCGATTCCAATTTTAATGCAAAACGTGCACCATGCTTTCGAAAATCAATCATTAAAAACATCGATAACATATTAGAAATCGTCGAGTCTAACCGTATTGTAACCACTATTTGATTGTGCAGGAACTAAAAATTACACAAAAGTTCCGTTTAGAATCACTTAAATACGGTTGGATACGAAAATAGGTCGATGAATGGATGCCTCAGGAGTTTATCATCACCATCAATCAACCATTATGGATGGAATTTCCAACTGCAAATCGCTGCTGATTAGCAACAAAATCGATCCATTCCTCAAGCCAATGGTTGCTGGTGATAAAACAAACGATGGCCAAGCCAGGATTGAGCATTAGGAAGGTTTCATTATGTGTTTAGTGGGATTGGTAGGTAGTCGTCTCCTATGAGCTGTTCTCCTACTATACAACCAAGCTCTTAATTCGAACCTGCACTGTCAACAAATGGTCCGTCTAAAGAAAACAATTGCCGAAGTGGCCAACTTTGACCAATAGGAAAGTAATTGTGCTCCATCAGGACAACGCCAGGCCACACACATCCATAGTGACTCGCCAGAAGCTCCAGGAGCTTGGTTAGAAAGCTCTTATGCATCCACCTTAAATTCCGGATGTGACACCAACTATTTGTTTATTTTACTTGACCTTATATTTAATATCATAAAATTAAATTATTTAAATTTAGGCTCTGTTTAGTTTCGTTATTAGAAATTTTTTCGACCTATGCACATATAATATATATTCGTATGTATATAACTATAACTAAAGAGAATTATGAAGTATTTTTTACCTTTAATTGCTGCCGTAGACCACTCATTGGGCTCATTCAATTTCAAATTAACTTAAGCAAACTATTCACAGATATTTTATATTTTTAAGCGATATTTTAGTTAGCTTTAATTTTTTTGGGATATAGTTTTTTATATATGTGTCTTCAATGTATATTACATATATATTCATATAGTTATAATATATTTATTAAGTACTTGCTAAGTTGGACCTTTTTATGTAAAAATTTCAAATATTTTTTACAGAGCCACTAATTTCAATTCTATTAACGTACGTCTAATAACTAACTCAATATTTTACACTTTTATATATGGTGATTTTGAGATTGTATATATGAATTTAAATATTATATATCTTATTTGCAATCATTAGCAATAAAATTGCACATAAAATAAATTGCACTCGTTTGCAGTGCTCCTTATACCATATTTTAATATACATATGAATGTATGTAGGTATGTATACAAATAATTTATTTTATTATAACGATATCGATATTGTTTATGGGGAGTGCAGTTTTTCAGCTGCCTAAATGTTTTGACGCGAACACGCACATTTTCACGAACTAAATGACTACGACGACGAATGAGCAGTTCTTACGCTGTCATCTATGCAAGTTTGAGGGAAGTATATAAAAAACACATGGCGGAATGTGCGCCACTGATCACGATTTTCCTATAGAACTGTTACACTTTGGCGCTTTTAAGCCGCTAACTAATGCAGACACAGAACGCCATACACCGAAAAATAGTAAAACATAAGAAATTCAGTGTATAATGAAAAAATATAATATAATTTTCGAAATTAGCACAATTCTGTACGAAATACACACAACCGATTATGAGAATAATTCAACGAAATGAATTGACGAAATATTCGCACTCAATAGACAAGTGTGCACCGAAAGTACGCGCTATATTTTTCGAATGCTAACCGTTTCGCAGCGTATTTTGAAATAAGATTGGAAATTGTACGGCGAATAATGATCACCAGCACTACGGTGACGGCAAAGTCAAACAAATAGCGTCAACAAAAGGCAGCGGCAATTGCTAGGTACAGATTGAGATCGCCCCTTGTCGGAATACAAACAAAAGCACAATGTGATGGCGAAGTCGAAAATGAGTCGGAAACAAAAATTAAAAGTTAAACATGTATGAACCAAAACCAAATTGTTGGTACAAAAGAAAAAGAGACAATACAAAATTGTATTAGAATCACTGAATAATAATCTACGAAACATATGGTAAGTCACTATGTCTCCTATTACTGCGAAAACATAATAAGTTTAAATAATAAAATACCAATCGAACTATCGAACTGTTTTGTTTGGAAATTCTAAAGTCCTTAGGTGATTTTAGTTGATTTTATATATTTTATTACTTTCAAACAAGTATTCATTAAAGGCTATTTTTAATTCTAAAACTTAAGTTCGTTATTACAAGAAACATGTGAAAAACGAATGTTATTGCGAAAATAAATGTTTCAAGAAATATAAAATTTTTAATAATATACCTATATCCCATCAATCATCTCGAAGTAGTAGAAATTTTTACAAAATAAAGTAACCACCAGAAAAAAACTAATTATGCGTCAAATGTTAGGAAACATGTACCAAACGATATCCAAACGATTTTTGAATTGAGTTGCAACATTCATTGTGTGATCCAGTTTGCAATAAAGTAAGGCTTTTAAATATTTTTTTGTCTTAAATAAATAAAGTAAGGCTTTTAAATATTTTTTTGTCTTAAATAAATGCATAATAACTTAAAAGAGTTATGTCTAAATTTCAAGACGATCGGAGCAAAATTGACGAAGTTATGAGTACTTTTATACCTGTCTGTTGAGCGTGTTACATCAGATTTTAAAAGTTTAAAGCGTTTTCCTCACAATTCATAATCGGTGGCCCTCATAACTTTAAAACTACTATACCGATCGTTTCTTTACATAACTTAGATAACGCTTTAGAGTTTTTTTTTCAAGTTTCCATGTTGCACCTAAAGAAAAAAGTTTCATGCGAAAACTACTCAAAGTTTAATTTTTTTTTAAGTATATTTTAATTATGTGTAACATATTGTGAATACCCCTACAAATTGAATTTTCAAATTAAGTTTCATAATTGCACGGACTAATCAATCAAATAAAATATATGTAAATATGTTTGTATGTATCTACTTGTAGGTAAGCACATGTGTGTAAAAAATAAATATTTGAAGATACACAATTGAGAAAAACAAAGAGCAAACGGTAATTTGAGCGAATCAGATAGTGTTGTCGCAGCAATATTTACCGCAAAATCTGACCGTAGTTTTATCTAAGAGATTTACACTAAAAAATTTAGTTAATCTTAAATTAAAGATAATAGTTGCAGCAGTGAATTATAGGTAGGTCGGTTGGTGAACGAGGATTAGACCACATATATATATATTTCCTGCCTTCACTTTCATGTCACGCTCTCACTTCCGCGTCACTGTGCACAGGTACCAATACCAATATACCCTACATATGAGAACTTTAAAGTTATATAAACTTTTCTCTTTTGATAATAGCTAACATATCAATAATCATGTAAGCTTTGAGGTGTCAGATCGAGAATTTCAATCGAAAATATTAATCGAGTTCAGTATAGAAATGCACTGCTGGGTTCAATTTCAGAAGAGATGGCAACACTGAACATAAAGCCGGCAAAAACAAATTAAGCTCATATTTTGCTTCACATAGCTGTATAGGTATTTCAACACACACCTACATGTTATAATAACAGATATGTACGCACATTCATATATACAATAATTGAGTACTTGAGAGTAATTTTATTTTTACTTCATATTGTTTCATTAAAAAAAATTACAATTTCTGTTCACTATATATATGTACAGCAAGTTTAAGAGAACACTATGTTCTCGCTTCGCTGAGAATTTCCACCATTGGGTAGGATAGCGTAAAGAAAACCGCCAGCAAATTCAATGTTTTCATGCGAAACTTGTGCTCATGCGAACTTTAGGCGGAAATTGGCGATGAATGTTAACTGATCGAAATTCTAACATGTGTATGTGCATATATATATATACATATATATACATATATATATATAGATAAATATACATTTATATATACGACTATATTATCTGTGTGTATATATAATTAGACATTAAAGAAAACATTACGCGATATAAATATTGAATTGTCTATTTTTGTATTTTAGTGTTCAGACTACAGCTAATCAATCCCGTTGACGATCCCTCCAGACTTTGTTTCATCACACACTAATGTACAAATAGACACTCATTGTGTAGAATTAAACACATATAATACATTTATGCACTATATTTACACCCGTTTAGTCGTTTATTTTGTAATAATGTGTTAATCTTTTCAAGGAAAATTAATGTTTATAACGTCAAAAAGACTTTTTAATTAGATAAATGTGTAGATCTGAAGGTGGGTATGCAAGTATTGGCATTTATCATAATGGACAAATTGCTTACAACAATGTACACGCTTATAGCTCGCTTTATGCTCGATTGATTTTTGTCGTGGCAGTGTATTTCCAAATCTGATGGCAGGTGGGTTCATTGTGTTATTTATTTTATTTTATTTATTTTAATTTTGTATACATTTTCATACATACATCAATGGTTTCCACGAAAATTGGGTTCATTGTAAAATAAACATTACAAGAATTAAGTGATTTTTATTAATTCGCAAAAATATTCAATTTAGTTGATTTTTGGACTATTATGAATGCATAATTAAATATTTGTATGTAAGCATATTATTAACACCCAGAGGGTAACTCAACGATCAGGGGATTATTGCTAAAGGCATCGCTACAATCTGCGAAAATATTGTTCAGATCGGACCACTATAGCTTATAGCTGCTATTCAAACTGACCGATCGAAGTCAAAATAAAGTTCTTTTTATACGCTTTTATGCCATAAAAATTACACCTGTCAAGGTGATTACTGTAGCCAATTCACCGTTTTTGTTTCGTTATTGGTCAGTTTAAATGGCAGCTAAATGCTAAAATGGTGAACAATGTATTCGGCGATCATAGCGTTGCTTGCGCAAATAACCCTTGCCAAGTATCGGGAAGATATATTGTATAAAAACTTGCTCCATATATCAACATAATTTTGATTGGTCTGTGATATGCTATAGTGGATCGATATCAGCAATTCCGACAAAATGAGCAGCTGTTTAAGGACAAAGGACGTGTGCAATATTTGTGACCACTAGTTCGCGTAAAAACAGACGGACATGACTACATCGTATTAATTCGTCGCGCTAATCATTTACACTTACAATTACATATGTATGTACTTTATAAGGTATCCGAGGTTTCTTCTGGGTGTTGCAAACTTCGGGACAAACTTAATATACCCTATTTAACTCTGACAGCACAAATTTAAATCACGATTTTTGTGTACCTGCGGAGTCTTCGTATTTTCAAATCATAATTCGTGTATGTGAGAACTTAGCACTAGGCTGTTTTTGAAATAGGCACAATAAGAGCACATGCCCACAAAATGATGTAATCCAAATTTAAACTGTTATAATCCATTAACATATTAAGCTGAACATTTTAAAGTCATGCACATGAGTTCACTGGAGCAAGAAGCCCTTTTCGCTTAAAATAATATAAAATGGGCGTGGTACCGCTTTCTAAAATAATTGTGCTCGTATCTCATGGACTTTTATATATATATATCTGAACAACACTGGAACAACGTGGGTAAAATACTGTTTTTAAAAGTGCAATAACCCTATGAACAACGCTGCCAGAAACATGAATTGGAGGCGAAATGTGAGTCCCCTAAATTTGTCGCTCAATTTTGAAAATGTTGTAATGAGTAATGATAAACCAAATTTTAAACTGAGTCTTATAAAGGACTCACTGCGCCCACTTTCTATAGCATTAAGACAACATTCAACAGTCGAAAACGTTATATAGCTTTACCGGCTCCCACCTACAAAAGTTCTCAAGCCCTCCTGTTGTCTTATATTGTGTATATAAATTAAGAAGATATTTTTATGCAATTAAATACTGGATATACATACGGTATCGCTCCAATTTGGTACACTTTAACAATTATTTTTAATTATCTCTCTTACTAATCGATATGGTGTTTGATATGTAGATTTTTAGTTTGTGAAATATGTGTGGACATTAAGCCTATTTTTGTAGACGTGGTGCGATTTCGCCCATCTACATTATCTATCTCACCTAAGTGTCAATTTTTACTCAAGTTATCGCTTTTGGATACAACTATTATACTCACTCTATGTAAGATGTTGCTATAGTATAACAACACAGTTCAAACGCCTCAAAGAAAGATTATGCACCTTATACAAAAACATTAACATAGGTATATACCTAAATATATATGTATGTATAACATGTAGGTAATTTATTTTCGAAATATAAAATTGTTTATCATGCACAAGGACATGTTTATATACAATAAATACAAATTCTTGTATCTACATATAAATTATCTGCATATCTATGGTTCGTTTATTTATATGCAAGTATACACTAATAAAATGCAAGTATATCTGCCACCAAAAAAAACACATCTTATTTAATTAATATCATACATTTTTAAATGTATTTTGAAAAATTGTGTGGTCTGAGCATATCATCGCCAATTTTACATTTCTCAGTGATGTGTATAATTTATTTGGCAATTTACGCCGTCATTTGAATCATATGATGTGTATATTAGCTATAAATACTTTGTGAATGTGATAAAGTATTAATAAATTAATAAATAAGTTCTTGTGCACAGTTGAATGGTATTTAAAGGGTGTTGTTTTTGGGTTAATCTTTGATATATCGGGTATGTGCATATTGTAAAGTCAATAGAAGACTATAAGCATTTATGTATGGTGTACGCTAAATAGGGCATATTAAGTTTACTACGAAATTTGTAATCTAAGGAAGCGTCGGAGACCCTAAAAGGTGTTGTACACCCCCTTTCCTCCCCAAGAAGATGCTGATATATCGGACCACTATAGTATACGATATAGCTGTCATACAAACTGACCGATCAAAAAAACATTATTTTATGATAAACTT